CTCCAATGAATGGTAGCCTTGTCAGTATGCAAGGTAGTCTGTTGTTCAGATTTTTGTTATTCCAATGGATGGTAACCTTGTCATTATGGAAGGTAATCTTTTGTCGAGATTTATGTTACTCCAATGGATAGTAGCCTTGTCATTATGAAAGGTATTCTATTGTCGAGATTTTTGTTACCCCAATTGATGGTAGCCTTATCATTATAGAAGGTAGTCTATTGTCGATATTTTTAGTACTCCCATGAATGGTAGCCTTGTCATTATGGAAGGTAGTATGTCATTGAGATTTATGTTACTACAATGCATTGTAGCCTTCTCATTATGGAAGGTAGTTTGTTGTTCATATTTTTGTTACTCGAATGGATGGTAGCCTTTTCATTATGGAAGGTAGTCTGTTGTCGAGATTTTTGTTATTCCATTGGATGGTAACCATGTCATTATGGAAGGTAGTCTTTTGTCGAGATTTCTGTTACTCCAATGGATGGTAGCCTTGTCATTATGCAAGGTAGTTTGTTGTTCAGATTTTTGTTACTCCAATGGATGGTAGCCTTGTCATTATGGAACATAGCTTGTTGTTGATATTTATGTTACTCCAATGGATGGTAGCCTTGTCATTATGGAAAGTAGTTTGTTGTCGAGATTTTGTTACTCTAATGGATGGTAGCCTTGTCATTATGGAACATAGTCTGTTGTTGATATTTTTGTTACTCCAATGGATGGTAGCCTTGTCATTATGGAAAGTTGATTGTTATCGAGATTTTGTTACTCCAATGGACGGTAGCCTTGTCATTATGGAACATAGTCTGTTGTTGATATTTTTGTTACTCCAATGGATGGTAGCCTTGTCATTATGGAAGGTAGTATGTTGTCGATATTTTTGTTACTCCAATGAATGGTAGCCTTGTCAGTATGCAAGGTAATCTATTGTTCAGATTTTTGATATTCCAATGGATGGTAACCTTATCATTATGGAAGGTAATCTTTTGTAGAGATTTCTGTTACTCCAATGGATGGTAGCCTTGTCATTATGAAAGGTATTCTATTGTCAAGATTTTTGTTACCCCAATGGATGGTAGCCTTGTCATTATAGAAGCTAGTCAATTGTCGATATTTTTAGTACTCCAATGAATGGTAGCCTTGTTATTATGGAAGGTTGTATGTCATTGAGATTTATGTTACTCCAATGTATTGTGGCCTTTTCATTATGGAAGGTAGTCTGTTGTTCATATTTTTGTTACTCGAATGGATGGTAGCCTTTTCATTATGGAAGGTAGTCTGTTTTCGATATTTTTGTTATTCCAATGCATTGTAGCCTTCTCATTATGGAACATAGTCTATTGTTGATATTTTTGTTACTCCAATAGATGGTAGCCTTGTCATTATGGAAAGTTGTTTGTTGTCGAGATTTTGTTACTCCAATGGACGGTAGCCTTGTCGTTATGGAACATAGTCTGTTGTTGATATTTTTGTTACTCCAATGGATGGTAGCCTTGTCATTATGGAAGGTAGTATGTTGTCGATATTTTTGTTACTCCAATGAATGGTAGCCTTGTCAGTATGCAAGGTAGTCTATTGTTCAGATTTTTGATATTCCAATGGATGGTAACCTTATCATTATGGAAGGTAATCTTTTGTAGAGATTTCTGTTACTCCAATGGATGGTAGCCTTGTCATTATGAAAGGTATTCTATTGTCAAGATTTTTGTTACCCCAATGGATGGTAGCCTTGTCATTATAGAAGGTAGTCAATTGTCCATATTTTTAGTACTCCAATGAATGGTAGCCTTGTCATTATGGAAGGTAGTCTGTTGTTCATATTTTTGTTACTCGAATGGATGGTAGCCTTTTCATTATGGAAGGTACTCTGTTTTCGAGATTTTTGTTATTCCATTGGATGGTAGCCTTGTCATTATGGAAAGTAGTCTGTTGTTGAGATTTTTGTTATTCCAATGGATGGTAACCTTGTCATTATGGAAGGTAGTCTTTTGTCGAGATTTATGTTACTCCAATGGATGGTAGCCTTGTCATTATGCAAAGTAGTTTGTTGTTCAGATTTTTGTTACTCCAATGGATGGTAGCCTTGTCATTATGGAACATAGTCTGTTATTGATATTTTTGTTACTCCAATGGATGGTAGCCTTGTCATTATGGAAGGTAGTATGTTGTCGATATTTTTGTTACTCCAATGAATGGTAGCCTTGTCAGTATGCAAGGTAGTCAGTTGTTCAGATTTTTGTTATTCCAATGGATGGTAACCTTGTCATTATGGAAGGTAATCTTTTGTCGATATTTATGTCACTCTAATGGATAGTAGCCTTGTCATTATGAAAGGTATTCTATTGTCGAGATTTTTGTTACCCCAATTCATGGTAGCCTTATCATTATAGAAGGTAGTCTATTGTCGATATTTTTAGTACTCCAATGAATGGTAGCCTTGTCATTATGGAAGGTACTATGTCATTGAGATTTATGTTACTACAATGCATTGTAGCCTTCTCATTGTGGAAGGTAGTTTATTGTTCATATTTTTGTTACTCGAATGGATGGTAGCCTTTTCATTATGGAAGGTAGTCTGTTGTCGAGATTTTTGTTATTCCATTGGATGGTAGCCTTGTCATTATGGAAAGTAGTCTGTTGTTGAAATTTTTGTTATTCCAATGGATGGTAACCTTGTCATTATGGAAGGTAGTCTTTTGTCGAGATTTCTGTTACTACAATGGATTGTAGCCTTGTCATTATGCAAGGTAGTTTGTTGTTCAGATTTTTGTTACTCCAATGGATGGTAGCCTTGTCATTATGGAACATAGTCTGTTGTTGATATTTATGTTACTCCAATGGATGGTAGCCTTGTCATTATGGAAAGTAGTTTGTTGTCGAGATTTTGTTACTCCAATGGATGGTAGCCTTGTCATTATGGAACATAGTCTGTTGTTGATATTTTTGTTACTCCAATGGATGGTAGCCTTGTCATTATGGAAAGTTGATTGTTATCGTGATTTTGTTACTCCAATGGACGGTAGCCTTGTCATTATGGAACATAGTCTGTTGTTTATATTTTTGTAACTCCAATGGATGGTAGCCTTGTCATTATGGAAGGTAGTATGTTGTCGATATTTTTGTTACTCCAATGAATGGTAGCCTTGTCAGTATGCAAGGTAGTCTGTAGTTCATATTTTTGTTATTCCAATGGATGGTAACCTTGTCATTATGGAAGGTAATCTTTTGTCGAGATTTTTGTTACTCCAATGGATGGTAGCCTTGTCATTATGGAAAGTTGTTTGTTGTCGAGATTTTGTTACTCCAATGGATGGTAGCCTTGTCATTATGGAACATATTCTGTTGATGATATTTTTGTTACTCCAATGATTGGTAGCCTTGTCATTATGGAAGGTAGTATGTTGTCGATATTTTTGTTACTCCAATGAATGGTAGCCTTGTTAGTATGCAATGTAGTCTATTGTTCAGATTTTTGTGATTCCAATGGATGGTAACCTTGTCATTGTTGAAGGTAATCTTTTGTCGAGATTTCTGTTACTCCAATGGATGGTAGCCTGGTCATTATGAAAGGTATTCTATTGTCGAGATTTTTGTTACCCCAATGGATGGTAGCCTTGTCATTATAGAAGGTAGTCTATTGTCGATATTGTTAGTACTCCAATGAATGGTAGCCTTGTCATTATGGAAGGTAGTATGTCATTGAGATTTATGTTACTCCAATGGATGGTAGCCTTGTCATTATAGAAGGTAGTCTGTTGTCGATATTTTTAGTACTCCAATGAATGGTAGCCTTGTCATTATGGAAGGTAGTATGTCATTGAGATTTATGTTACTCCAATGCATTGTGGCCTTGTCATTATGGAAGGTAATCTGTTGTTCATATTTTTGTTACTCGAATGGATGGTAGCCTTTTCATTATGGAAGGTAGTCTGTTGTCGAGATTTTTGTTATTCCATTGGATGGTAGTCTTGTCATTATGGAAAGTAGTCTGTTGTTGAGATTTTTGTTATTCCAATGGATGGTAACCTTGTCATTATGGAAGGTAGTCTTTTGTCGAGATTTCTGTTACTCCAATGGATGGTAGCCTTGTCATTATGCAAACACTACGCCAAAAATGATTTTTTGTATCACCTAATTTAATAGCACTTTTAAAAAAAATGCTATTAAAATGGAAAAAACACATTTATAATAGCACTTTTTAATCGGGCGCTATTATATAATACAGACTATGTAATTTTGATAGCACTTTGTACCAGAACGCTATTATTAAACTTCTTTAAGATAGCATTTTATATAAAACGCTATTATTTGACTACCTATATAATATCACTTATTAAAAAGCGCTATGTTATATATAATAATGAATTAATTAATTAATTGATAAAAAAAAAAAAACAAAACACATTTTCCCCCACACCAAAACCCCAATAACTAAACCCAAACCCATTGCGAAGGAGTAGCACCGTGGCATCACCAACGATCACCAACTTCACTCACTCGCGATAATGGCAATGGACGATTCACATTCATCTCTGTTCAACCTAGGTATTCTCGACACTCTCACCCAAGACGAACTTCACGAAATCCTCGACAGCTACGACGCCTTCTGCAACGCCACACAATCTCTTCTCGGCGGTGCCGGCGACCTCTCATACGGTGCTCAATTTGTTTCCCATGTTCACACCCTATTCGTGATTTTGAGTAGCTGTAATGAGGGTTTGTGAGGTTAAGTTGCAGTTGTGAGTTTGTGGTTAAACTGTTTGATGAAATGCCTAACTGAGTTTTTCATTTCAAAAAACAGATGGAGTTGACTTTAACCGAACAAGATGCCGCTCATTGGGTTTACAGAGGTGAAGGTGCTGCTAATATTGTTGTCTCATACACTGGTTCTTCTCCTTCTTACGTATGTTTATTCTTGTAACTCAATTTTGCTTAATTTAATGTTTATAGTTTAAGGCCAATTTGTATTGTGTTTAGAATTTATTTGAGTTTTTCTTATGACATTAAGCTCTTGTGTCTGTGTTTCCTATTTGGATATCAATGCCTTCTCCCTCATCATAGCCTTCAACTGATCTCTCATGTTCAATTTCCTGATACAACTCTTTTTCCAAGTCCTTGTCTAAATTCCCTGTGCCTAAAACCTTCTGACTTTCTGAGTAGTAAATTGGACAAACCCCACACTCTTTGATTTTTAAAAGGTCACCAAGTTCTCTGCCACTAGTTGTATAAGTTGTAATATAGAATTTAAAAGAAACCTTTCTTTCATTCCTTCTGAGTATGGTGTCACAAAGGAATGGATCATACCATACAAAAATATGATCCATTTCCAAATCTGTAACCAGTTTAGGCTTCCACTTAGACTTATTTCCCACTTCCGTCCTTCCATCTTCCGAATAGCACTGACATAGGATTCCAACAAAGTATTCACCCTCTTGTGTTATGTTAGATGGAGTAACAACAACTGCTAAAATGAAGCCCACCCAGTTGAGAACGTCAATAGTTAAGGAGGCGTATGTGGTGGATCGTTGTTTGAACTGACTTGGAATTCTGTGTCCTGGCAGACATACCTCGGCGCTGTTATAATTGTAGCTGTGGGTTTGGAATCTGTACTTTCTCACTAATACATTGTGAAAGGCAGCACTTTTCATTGTTAACACGGCATCTTCCGTCATGCAGGCAAGGGAGGGTCCATCCAGTTTCATCTTAATGCTATTCGTTATTGAAATGTATTTGTTCTGTCCAATCATGTTTACTGAAAAAGTCTTCAAAGTGGATACAGTCGTTAACGACAAGCAGTTGCCAGCCTGAAACTCTTTGATGCTTAAAGGCAGTTCTGGCAGACATTGAAGCTTACTGCAATTGTCTAAAGACTGAACTTCTAGCTCTAAGAGGTCTTTGATGCTAGCAGGCAACTCCTTCACATTGCTTCCATCTAGTCTTAACTCTTGCAATGATGATAAAGAACTAATGTTTGCAGGGAGTTCAAACAAGTTACTACAGTCTTTCAAGTGTAGTAATCTTAGTGAGCTCAGACCATCAAATAGGGCTTTTAACTTTGATTTGGTTACTACACTGCACTTAGAAACCCGAAGTTCAGTAAGTGCCAAGTAAGACAATTCAATCGGTAGACTTGTTAGATTTAAACCTTCTAGATTTAACGAATAAAGCGTATTATATGAGATTCTCTCTAGTCTACGGTCTGCACCTACTGATGCTGCAAGTTCATCTTCTGCATTTCCAACAATATCTGAAACAAATTCAGTTACCGAACTTCTTTCGGAAGCAGCTCCACTGGCTGATGCAGTAGGTTGCCTTATCCCTCTGTCTCCATTATTTTCTTCATAAAACTTTGTTCTGTTTAGTTTATCCATTGCTTGTACTGCAGGAGCCTTTGTTTGAAGAAGATACGAGAGACAAAAATGATGAAGCCGCAAATGTGCAGGTCATCTTTATATAACCGTCTCTGAAATTAATAAATGGTCCGGGAATTATCCTTTCAATGACACAATCAATGGTGACAACAATGGTGGAAAGTTGATGCTTTATGCTTCAACATTAGGTGGGGGTGACAGAAGCTTCAATGTTACTGATAAAATGGAAGTTCTTGTAGAACATCCTAAACTTTTGGATCATACCCTTTATGATTCAAAGCCAAAGTTTGAGTTTTTATACTGTGGATCATCATTGTATGGGAATTTGAATCCACAAAGAGTGAGAGAATGGATAGCTTATCATGTGAGACTATTTGGGCCAAAGTCACATTTTGTGATACATGATGCTGGTGGTGTTCATGAAGAGGTTTTAGAGGTTTTGAAGCCTTGGATTGAACTTGGTTATGTTACATTGCAAGATATTAGAGATGAAGAAAGATTTGATGGATATTATCATAATCAGTTCATGGTTGTGAATGATTGTTTGCATAGATATAAGTTTATGGCCAAGTGGATGTTCTTTTTTGATGTTGATGAGTATATTTATGTTCCTCCAAAGAGTACTATTAAAACTGTGGTTGATTCTCTTTCTCAATATTCTCAGTTCACAATAGAACAGATGGCTATGAGTGGCAAGGTTTGTCTACAAGATGATTATGGAAAAACTTACAGGTATCATTTTGCATTACTTGATTTAGATTTTTTTCTTCTCTTTTTTTGTTTTTGCTTAAATTATACTAGCCTAATAGCTTCATTGTAATGGATCTTGAGTTTGAGGTTGGATACTATTTTTTTCACCCTTGGATAGAGAGGGGACAAACCATTGTATTGTTGTGGTGTACATGCATTTGGAATTATTAACCCATTCCTATTCCTATGATATTAATTTTGTTTTACATAGTGTGCCAAGACAGGTAGATGTGGGACAGGTTTGACCTTTGTGGTACTGTGATTTGTTACTAAATTCAACCATATATTAATTAAATAAGTGAATAAATAACTATATAATATAGTAATTTGGTCCAATTTGTTCAAGATTCTTGCAACATATGTTGAAAGTTCAGAACAATTCTTTATTCAATCATCAATGTCTTCATCAATAAGATAGCTGCACTGCTCAGAATCATGTTATTTTCAGTAATTGAAAATAAACATGGTGACAGAATTGATGGTGATTCTCCCGATGCTTATTTTTACTGATTTTCTTTCATGTTATCTTTGTCCACAAGTGAGGTTTGATCATGACAGCTTTGTAGTGTGTAGGTATAGACTTCATTTGAGTATTTTAATATTCATAGTAACCACTATACCAATTAATTTGATCACAAGTCCCACACAATAGTTGTTAGATCTAGCTGTCTAAGTGTTAGTTGCTTGGTTTTATTGCACAAAATTCTTTTAAAATTCTGAAAAAGAAAGATATCAAAAGGTAGCTAGTATTGTGATGGTGATTGATTTGTTTAATGTTGGTTTAAATATGTTTTGTTTTCAATTTCACAAGAGGTTTTGGTTTTGAATCCTGATATAAAATTGTAACATTGTTAAAAATAAGAGCGTTAAATCCTCAACATCCCTATAGAAAGTCACGTTTAGGGTGTGCTCGTCTTGAAGCTGATATGGTAAGTATGTGTATAAATGTACTATACAATATTATAAAAAAATTTAATTGCTATGTTAATTTGTAAAAATGTATATACAGGTAGAAGAGTCAGAAGTTGGTGAGATAAACCGTAGTCAAGTGTGGAAGGCTGCCCGCGTCAATAAGAGCGGGGTGATTGATAATGAGAATGTTCAAAGAGTTGTGGATCAATGTGTAAGTCGAATTTTAGATGTGACACTATAGATGTTATTTCCAAAATGCTCACATTATAGATGTGACACTTTTTCTATACTCATCATTGTTACCGAATTTGTATTTTGTTAGTTAGTTTGAAGTCATTAAACTCGATTTTCCTTAATTAATTGAGTCTTTGTGTCTTATTTTGATAGAATAGCCATTAATTGCAACTTGTATCTAACTATTGGTTATTTCTTTTATACTTATCAATGTCAGGAGAAGTTAACAGAAGCTCTATCTGAAGAAGAGAGACAAGACCTTGGTCCCACAAACATATTATTTGAGGCTCTTAATCTCCCAAACTACTCTGGACGTGTTAGGACTTATGGTTTTGGGGTATGTTCTAGGGACATATTACCACGCCAAAATCGCCCCACACAAATGGATTTTGAAAAATTGTATGGCTTTTGTAATTCACTCAAAAGTAGATTGGAGGTGCTAGAGAGAGAAAAGATTGAGAGAGATAAGCTGGATAGAGAGAAGCTAGAGAGGCAACAAACTGAAGAAGTGGAAGAAAGGCAACAACCTAAACAAGTGTCAGAGAGGTTGCAACAACCTGAAAAAGTGGCACAGAGGCAACACCTTGAACAAGTGGTAGAAAGGAAACAACCAGAAAAAGTAGCTGAGAGTCGACTACCTAGTGATAAAGGTTTTTTGGTGTTTTGTTTAGAGAATTTGATTGTATGTTTTTGGATTTGGATTGAAGTACTCATAGATGGGCATCTACAAATTTGGCTATGCAAACACCCTCTTAATATTCTATATGTTATGATATTTGGAAACAATAGGATTTGGTAATTTAAAATGTTATTTGGTATTTGATGGATCATAATATATATGCAATGAGTAACTTAAAGCGTTATTTGTGTTGAATTGAATATAGTTATTTTATATTTACACAAAAAAAAATGATTGTGTAAGAAAAAATATTGTACTGTACTTATTAAAAATATTGTACCAAATATGTACCATTTATTAGCACTTTATTTGAAAGCGCTATCAAACATATGTTATATATTAGCGCTTTTTGTTTAGAGTGCTATAAAAAAACAAACAAAAAACATGCAAAATACTGACTTTGATAGCACTTTAATTAAAACGCTATTATAAATTGGTACTTTAATAGCGCTTTTAAAGTGCTATTAAATAAGAAATATTTACAATAGTGGCGCGGTTAATAGCACTTTTAAGCGCTATCAAAAACAAAAAAAAGCGCTATTAAATAGCTTATTTGGCGTAGTGAAAGTAGTTTGTTGTTCAGATTTTTGTTACTCCAATGGATGGTAGCCTTGTCATTATGGAACATAGTCTGTTGTTGATATTTTTGTTACTCCAATGGATGGTAGCCTTGTCATTATGGAAAGTAGTTTGTTGTCGAGATTTTGTTACTCCAATGGATGGTAGCCTTGTCATTATGGAACATAGTCTGTTGTTGATATTTTTGTTACTCCAATGGATGGTAGCCTTGTCATTATGGAAGGTAGTATGTTGTCGATATTTTTGTTACTCCAATGAATGTTAGCCTTGTCAGTATGCATGGTAGTCTGTTGTTCAGATTTTTGTTATTCCAATGGATGGTAACCTTGTCATTATGGAAGGTAATCTTTTGTCGAGATTTATGTTACTCCAATGGATAGTAGCCTTGTCATTATGAAAGGTATTCTATTGTCGAGATTTTTGTTACCACAATTGATGGTAGCCTTATCATTATAGAAGGTAGTCTATTATCGATATTTTTAGTACTCCAATGAATGGTAGCCTTGTCATTATGGAAGGTAGTATGTCATTGAGATTTATGTTACTACAATGCATTGTAGCCTTCTCATTGTGGAAGGTAGTTTTTTGTTCATATTTTTGTTACTCGAATGGATGGTAGCCTTTTCATTATCGAAGGTAGTCTGTTGTCGAGATTTTTGTTATTCCATTGGATGGTAGCCTTGTCATTATGGAAAGTAGTCTGTTGTTGAGATTTTTGTTATTCCAATGGATGGTAACCTTGTCATTATGGAAGGTAGTCTTTTGTCGAGATTTCTGTTACTCCAATGGATGGTAGCCTTGTCATTATGCAAGGTAGTTTGTTGTTCAGATTTTTGTTACTCCAATGGATGGTAGCCTTGTCATTATGGAACATAGCTTGTTGTTGATATTTATGTTACTCCAATGGATGGTAGCCTTGTCATTATGGAAAGTAGTTTGTTGTCGAGATTTTGTTACTCTGATGGATGGTAGCCTTGTCATTATGGAACATAGTCTGTTGTTGATATTTTTGTTACTCCAATGGATGGTAGCCTTGTCATTATGGAAAGTTGATTGTTATCGAGATTTTGTTACTCCAATGGACGGTAGCCTTGTCATTATGGAACATAGTCTGTTGTTGATA